GCTCTGCATGGTCCTCCACGCCAGCCCCACCTGCCGACCAACGACACCCCCAAGAGCCACTGTAACAGGCACCTGCAAAAAACCAGAAGCTTTTAACCGGCTGCCCCTCTGCCTCTACCTTGGTTTTCGGTCCCAACAGATGCACCGTTTGTCTTCTCTCCCGGTAGAATGCTACCACACGGTCAGGAAGATATATTTAGAAATTACCCTGAAATGGCCAACCAGCATAGCTCCCTGGAGACAGAATGACATGGAGGTCAACTCCGAGGCCAGGAGACCTTGCCTGGGATGCCGGCTGCGCTGCTTATGGGTCCTTATGGACCTCCCTGTGACTCAGTCTCTCCTCCGTACCATGGGGGCTAATCAGTGCCCACCTCCTCTGGGGGGAACGGATGATTAACGGCTAATAATTGAGAAGCATGCCTAGGAGAGAGTAAGCACTCCGTAAATGTCATCTCCTTCTGCTTCTTCTTTGAGCCAGAATCTGTTTATCTTTAATCATGCGTCTGGTCCAGCCTCGTCTGGTCATACTTATCTGACGGTCATGTGCCTAAACAGCTGATCCCGGACGGCCTAACCTTCGAAAACCAGGATTTCAGGCCATTAACAGACTGTTCTTACAAGGGGCATGGGCTGCCTGTGGGGTCAGCGATTCCAGCTCCTGTCAGCAGCCCCCGCCCCCCCGTGGGCCCCCTTTCTCCTACAGCAGGAGTACCGAAGGCCCAATATCCAGGGAAGGAACCCATCCTTCCCTGATGACCCCCCCAAATGAGAAAGAGGATGCAGGCTGTGTGGCCAGACCTTTTCTACATAATGGGAAGGAACATGGCCCCTGCTGAATGTCCAGGAAGCCCAGAGGCTGTCTGCCATCTCCCTATCTGAGCTACTCCTGCGTGGAGGTGACGTGAGAAGGTGCTCAAAGAAACCCCATGGCCTCTAAATTCTCCCAGTGATCAAAGCATGTCCCCCCATTGCTGCTTATGCCCCAGACTCCTGTCCCCATCCTACGCTCTGCTTAGCCCACCCCAAGCAACCCAGATTCACATCTCTCTTGGACCCTATATCTTAAGCACGTGACTTTTTTTTAATTGTGGTGAAATACACCTAAAGTTTACCATTTTTACCCTTTTTCAGTGAGGCAATTCAGTGCCATTAAGCACATTCACAATATGACCCATCCCCACTGTCCAGTTCCAGAACCTTCCCGCCACCCCAACAGGACAACCCGTATCCATCAAATATCACTCGCCATTCCTCCTGCCTCCCAGGCCCTGGCAACCACTAAGCTACTTCTGGTGTCTGGATTTGCTCATTCTGGGCATTTCATAGAAATGGAATCACAATGCTATGCAGCCATTTATCTCTGGTTTCCCTCACTCTGCAAACCATCCTCAAGGTTCATCCAAGTTTGCGTGTATCGGTACCTCACTCCTTTTTATGACCGAATACTAGTCCCCCATATGGACGTGCCATGCCACGTTTACCCATTCGCGCAGCGATGGACATGTGGGCTGTTCCCACCTTTCCGCTATCACGAAGTCAAGCACTTGACCTTTACCTGACTTCCGGCTTTCAACTCTCCGCTACGTTCAGGGTCTAATAGCAGCAGCTATTAGCTCCCTCAGCTGCCCCACCCCCGCCCTGGGCAGCACCACCTTTTCCCTCCCAAGGTCCTCTCAAGAGACCTCCAGCAAGCTGACCCTCCACACCTGTCCTCATGCCCACAAGTCCTGCCATAATCCCACCGTCCCCGTGAGCAGCTCTGCAGGCGGGAGACCTCTGCTCAGCTCAGTTCACCTCCTTCATCACCCCACGCGGCACCTTCCCACCTCTCACCCTCACCAGAAGAAGACAGGTGAGTGCAGGACAGTAAGATGTGCTGAGCGAGAGACTGAGTTCACGTTTGATATAACTGTTCTATTTTATTTTGAGTTATTGCTGGTCTCTTACAGTGCCTGATTTATATTTTAAACTCTGCCACAGGGATGCATGTATGAGAAAGAACATAGTATGAACAGGGTTCTGTATTATCTGTGGTTTCAAGCATCCACTGGGGGTGTTGGAGATGTATCCCGCATGGATAATGGGGGTGGGGGGACCACTGTCTCAGGAAACCAGATCAGACAGAACTCAGGCCCCAGGCTCCCAATTTAGCCAGCTCTTTCCTCCCCACTGTCCTGCCCCCCAGCACCTGGCCAGTACTGCATTCAAGTGTCACCAGCTGGTTTTCCATACTCACCCAACCGACTCTTTATCTTGCAAAACGAGAGCCAAAAACCAGAAAGAGCCAAGCTAATCCAGGCTGCAGGTGTATATAACCCCGATTTTCTTCCATGAGAAAAAAATGGAAGGGCTGAGAAGCTCCCAGATGGGACACGTCTAAGGTCAGCCCCCAGCCCAGCACCCCCACCTGAGAGCACCTGAGGATGGAGCCCTTCCTACAGCTGCTGGGCTCCTCAGAGTTCTCTGCAGGCCCCCCTGGGGGGCTGACTGCCCAGGTGCCTCGCAGGGCCCCAGTTGGGGGGAAACTGGCCACAGGAGGAGTGTTTACACTAGGGAAACTGGCAAATGCTACAAACCAGGCCTGGCCCACTGCCCCGGGCGCTTCTGCCCGCGGAGAGCTCTATAAGGGACCATGGAAGAAGCCGATCACTGTCCAAGGCCTCGCAGCCAGTGGAGAATCAACCCCAGGTCACCCGGCTCCAAACCACGCTCCTCCCGCTGAACCAAACAAACATGCAGATCAACAACCGTCTCCGAGTTGACGGACGGCAAGGGAAGGCAGGTGGCCCTCTTTTAGGTCTGGGGGCTGGAGGTCTCTATGACCATAAGCAGGTGGGCTTGGAGTGGGTGGTCCCGATCCCGTTCCTGCTCGGTTTCCTCCAGGGCCGCCACCCCACCCCCCACCCCGGGGCCCCAGACCTCCCACGGGCCAGGCGTTCCTCACCTCCCTGCCCCAAGAGAGGGTCCCAGCCAGCTCAGTGAGCAGGTGGACAGCATTTGTTCGAGGGGATGGGTTCAGGGCGAGGTTATGTCCATCAGCTTTCAGGACAAATTCTCGGTTTATTAATTCTCCTCCATTACGCAGGGAAAAGTAAACAAGCTTTTCTCGGGCGGCCTGGCACAGAAGCCTTCCCTATTCAAACACTGCGAGAATCGACAGGCTTGGGAGTATGAGCTCCCAGCCCCGCTACCCAGGGGGCCCCCTGGCCTCCTGCCCACGACGTCCTGGCCTGCCGAGACAGGCGAGCCGGGCTTTGTGCGGTGGTGGCCGGCTCCAGAGTCCGGCGCTCCGGGCCTGGCAGTGGCCTCAGCTCTCCGGAGGGAGCACCAGAGATTTCCGGCCACCTGGAGAGCTCCGGAGGAGGTCAGAAAGGGTCAGGCCACAGCCACGGGCACCAGGACAAGCATCACACCTGTGCACTTCACCCCTCCGTGAGGAAAGCGCTCGGTCAGGGCGTTCATATGATGCCTGCTTCCATTTAAGCCATGATTTGAAAGGTGCGGGGGGAAGAAAGGCGAGTCGCAGTAATGAAATCAAAACAACGGCTAAGAAAAGACTTCTCCGAGCAGGATGCTGCTACAAGTGTTTCTAAGTGTTGCTCAGGAGACTTTTACCTGCCGAGCCAAGATGGTTGCATGTTTTCAAGTCAAGCTGCAAGGACCAGAAACAGGGAGGCGCGAGAGAGGCGGGAGCCGCCTTGCCCTTGGACCAGCTGTGCACACTGCCCCCAGGAGGAGCTTGGCCAGGTGAGTCCTCCTGTGACCCATGTCACGAGGAGGAAGCTAGCATCAAAACTCCGCTAAAGGGAAGTGACTTCACTGCTCCCCCCAACCCCCCAGAGCTGGAGGTTCCTTTGAATTACGTTCTTACAGTAAGAGCTCCCTCATCCCGCCTCCCAGGTACTGGGGGATGCTACTTCTCTACAACGCCTTCCCGTTGTTGCTCCTCCCGGAAGGGTCCCCCGCAGCTCAGCCAAAGGGGACTGAAGACTGCCCAACAACCCAAGACCAAGATCTCTGTGGTTTTCCACCGTGTGGCCTCAGGCACTCCCTGCAATGCTCCTCTGTCCTTTCCTAGTTGAGGGCTGTTGACCTCACAGCGGGTCTGGCCTGCTCTCCACCAGGCGCACCTTCCAGCCAGGCCGTGAGCCCTCTTTGTGCCCAAGGCCCGGGCTGCGTAACCCCTCCTGTACCAAGGGTCTGGGGACGCCCAGGGACCCTTTCTCCCAGCAATATTTCTAAATGCAAAAATAAAACACACAGCGAGTCCTGTGGAATACAGGAAACGAATAATACTGAAATATACCCATCCAAATATTTTCCAAAAACCCAGCTTTATGATACAGTTGCATAATATACGTGCTTCTTTATTAATGATTATAAATCAGGATCTAGCTGCGAGTCCGGTAACTTCCGTCCTTCCGAAGCAACAACGAACACACACAGCATTTCATGATCTCTGTAGCCACTCGAAAGCGGTGTGAAATTCGCTGTGACTTCTGTGGGCTGCCCACCCCTCTGGGGGTTTGTGGCCCACGGAGAGAGCACTTGATTTTGGGCAGAAGTGAGGGGCAGTGAAGGTGTGATACTCTTCCCGTCCGGGCTCCCAGCCCCGTGAATCATGTTCGTGGACCCCTGTGCTCGAGATGCTTTTTTCATCCCCATTCCCGCCTCCTGCCTTCTCTTCAGCCCCAGGAAGGAGTACGCACCCCAGCTCCGACGGTGCTGGCCACACAGGCACCTTGCTACCCTGGGTGGATGAGCAGGAGGGTCTCGGGCCTGGGTGAGAAGCTGGCCTGCAGGCACCAGGAAGCCCCCCTCCCTTTTATTCTCGGAGGGGGCATCACCGGAAAAATGCTGTGTGGCTCCATCCTCCTCAGTCCAGCCCCAGGGGCCGCCACACATACCCAGCAGCTCCCTGATGGTGGTTCTGAGGAGTCTAGCAGCTCTGATCCCCCCACCCCTGCCGTCCCGATGGCAAAGCAGGACACGCTTACCTTCCGGCTCCTCCACGCTGCTGGCGGCCGTGGTCGGTGGTGCCACAGGGATCTCTGTGAGGTTCGGGACAGGAGGAAGAGAAAGCGAGGTAAAAAAAAGATGTTATTTTTGACCTTAGAAGAGAACGGGCAGAGCACAGACTCCTCCCTGGGCCCTCCTCCCTTCCCCACTCCTCAGCCCTAGAGGAGGAGGGCCAGGAGCTGGAGGAAGCTGGCATGGGGGCCCGTAACGTGGCCTTGTTCTCTGGATGCTGTCCCTCCACCAGGCAGGGACGGGAGCGGGGAGAAGGCAGGGCGGGCCCACAGCGTGGAGGGCTGACCCCCCCTCCCCGTACGATGTGATTGCTCCCCTCTGACCTCCCCCCGCTGGCGGGTTCCGTGGCAGGGTAGGCTTCCGTGGCAGGGGTGGCAGGCGAGGGGGCTGGGAGGTGTCTCACGCATGTGGGGGGGGGGGGTCTGCACTCCGGGCCCAGGTTCCCACGGGCTCACACTTTTCTCGGTAGCCAGAAGACTAAGGAGGATCCGAGGGCCTGAGAGAAGCATGCACTTCACCGGGGTCGTTCCCTTTCTACCTCGAATGCCAATTCTTTCCTACTAGCTCCTGACTCCTCCTGTGCTCAGGAAAGGTGAAGAGGTTCCTCCAGTCTCTGGGAAAGTCGCCCAGGCATCCACCAAAAGTCCCCAAGGGGAGGGACTCGCCTCCTCCATGAACAGGGGGGCCACAGAGGTCTCCACGAACCCCCCAGACTCTGGCCACCATCTGACTGTTCGGGGTAAGACCTCCCTCAATCTCCAGACAGGATCAGCTGGGACCTGAGGCTTGGTGGGTCCAGATGCTCGGGCCTGGGGGCATGCCTGAGACCCAGCCCTCCACTCGGGGGTCCGCTCTTGCTCTCGGTGGGATTTAATCAGCACTGAGCCACGGGTGGCCTGTTACAGCAACTCAGTAAGAAGCGGACCACAGATCCGGCCTGCTCTTAGCCCCCAGGAGCTCCGTGGTCCTGATGGGTCAGGTATGTGCAGCAATGGGCGTGGGCCTCGGGTGAGCTCCGGGAGGTGCACAGAGGGCCCGGCTCCCAGAGCTGTGCCCAGACAGGCAGGAGCCCCCCCCCCCCCGGGGGAACACGGTTTGGGTGCCTATAGCTGGCGGCCGCAGCAAGAGCTCCCAGAAACCCCAGGGTGGAAAGCCAGGTCCTCAGATGGTTGGCGGGAATGCCTGGCCTCTGCCGGAGCAGGTCGCAGAGCGAGACTTCCCGCTTCCCCAGGTTTCTGTCCCTGACTGTGAACCATCAGCTCCATTTCAGGGTCCTTCCCCTTGGGACTTTGACATGGCGGCTCCAGCTTGTTTGTTTTTCTTATGTTTTCACAACCCCCCAGGGGGCAGCGCCGGGTTTCCTCCCAGCTTTCTCAAAATGTTCACTTTGCAGCTTTTTGGCTAGACGGAAGAGAAGGGTTTCTGCAAATTGTGAGACTGACGAGTAGAGGTGGTCGTGAAAACCGTCTCAAGGTGCTCTGTGAGGGGTGGATATGGAACTCAATTTCCCGGGGCCAGGATTTGGGTTATCTGCTGGGACCGGACCCCTGTGACCACCCTGGGCCAGCAGACTCTCCTAGAAAGAGCCAGCTAGTGAATATGCCCAGCTCCGCGGGTCCTACGGACTCCGCTGTAGCTACTCAGTTGTGCTAGAGCTCAAAGCAGCCACGGATAACAGGTACGCACGGGCGCGGCTCTGTCCCCATAAAACTCCATGGACGCTCCACTTTTCATTTCAAGCATTCCACGTGTCATAAAATATTCGTCTCCTGACTTTGCTTTCAAACATTAAAGAATTATTAAAAGAAAACACTGAGCTCCACCAAAACAGGTGGTGGGGTCAAATCCCCGGGCCAGCTAACCCCTGCCCTGGAGAAGCAGACCCGCCGGGATCTGCTCCTTTTTCTGCTCTCCCTTCTGGCTTAGGTCAGCCCTGCACAAAGGAATCAGGAAGGCCAAGGCCGGGGGCTGGCTCCCAGCCAGGCCTGACTTCCAACCAAGGCTAAGTCTCCACCCATAACACCTGGTATGATCCTACCAGTTATAAAACATTAAGTCCCTTCTGCGCCAGGGCCCCTGAGTGGCCCCTGCCGTGTTGCTCACCACCTCCTCTAGTTCCGGCAACTAAGGGGCTAACAGCTGGTCCAAGGGGCCCCCAGGACTCTCAGGGGAGCCATCAGCTGTCATAAGGGCCGTAGGGGGCCACGCCTGGGAGCCTGTAGGGTCAGCGCCTTCTGCTCCGAATCTGCCAGGGTCCGGGGATCCCGGAATGCCCACCACAGCCACCATGGCGACCCCTGGTACGAGGCCACCCCAGGTCTGGGAGCCAAGGCAGAACATGGGACTAGGCCCCAGGTAGTGGAAAGGGGCTTGCTTCCCCCTGGGAACAGGAGACTCAGTCTTTATCAGGACAGAGAAGAAGCAGGCTGCCTATGCTGAGCTCCCAGCTGCTTTTGCAAGAACGCCCCAGGCTTGGAGGTCTCGCACGGGGTCCCGTATGGAAAAGTGCTCAACCCGCTGGACGTCAGCGGGGTTCAGAGAGGACTTCCCTCCCCCACAGCCCAGCCAGAGTCCGGAGGAGGAGGGGGGCTCCCGGCACTACATACTTATGCAGGGGGCGATGGGAGAGCGGCTCTGCTGGTAGCCCTTGGCGCAGCGGTTACAGGTGATGCCCGTCACACCGTCCTTGCAGGGACACTGACCGGTGGTCTGATTGCAGGTCTTGCCGGCCGCGCCCACGGGGTGGCAATCACAGGCTGTGGAGGACACACGACAGGAGGGTTAGAGGGTGGTGGGCAGGGGAGGGGGGTAGTCGGCCCCTCCCTTGCAATCCCGCCCCACCTTGGGGTGTCCCATGGACCCCCACCCCGGCAGACGGGGGGGAAGCGTGGGGTTGAGGGAGGCATGCCCAGTCAGGCACGCCCATACACACATATTCCAGAAGCTCTGATCACCGCCCACCTGCCTCCCTGGAGATGGGGACTGGAAATCAGAATGGACCACCATGAAAGGCTGTTTTGGCAGCAGGGAAGTACAGCAGGGGAGCCCTTCCAAAGTCCCGAGGGGAAGACAGGAAGGAAGGCAAAGCCCTCAGGCTGATCACAAGCAGAGGGGTCTGACTCCCCACAAGGTAAGTCTGTGTCTCCCCGCTCCTCTGCCCCCGGGTCTCCTTCCCTACCCTCCATGTTTGGAACACGATGCAGCCTTGGGGTTTGCCAGGTCAGAGGGGGTGGCCAGGGAGGTGAGACCCGCCAGGCTGCCGCGCCCGTCCTGGTTTGCAGCCAGGAGGTCCGAGGTGCCAACCGAAAACCGTGGCACCAGACCACAGTGATCACCTCAACACCCTGATTAGAAGTGCAGAGAGCAGGGAGGTGAAGGAGGCTCCTGGGGCCGCGCAGAAAGGGAGTGGCCATGCTGGGAGGTGAGGCCCCCCCACAGAGCAGGCCCTGCACCCCTCGTCCTAGTCTGGAACAGGCTAGAAAGCTGGGGTGGCCCACCCTGGTGTGCTACATCCCAGGGTCCCTCCCTGTGTTCCAAGGACGTGATCCCTGGGACAGAGTGGCCAGAGGACTTTGGGGGGGGGGGACATCCCCACTGCTATGGACTGAAGCCTTGCGTCCCCCCAAATTCACACTGAAGCCCTAAATCCCAATGTGGTGGGACCTTCGGGTGGTGGTCAGGTTTAGGGGGCGTCATAGAGGGGGGCCCCCCTCTAAGAAGAGGAAGAGCGAGAGCTGTCTGCATAAGCACACAGCAGGAAGGCCACCCCCCCGCCCCAGGAAGCCGGCCTTCCCCACACACGGGACGTGGGGTGCACTGATCTTGCACTTCTCAGCCTCCGGAACCATGAGAAATAAAATGCTTGCTGTCTAAACCACCCGTCTGTGGTGTTTTGTTATAGCAGCCCGAGCATCCAAGGTGCCCACCAGCCCCGGGCGGCTCGGGCAAGAGGAGCTATGCCCGCACGGAGGGGGCACCCGAGTTCCCGGCCCGATCCCGCTTCCCAGAATCCAGGGGGGCTCAGGGCGCGGGTAGGGGGAGGCAGGCAGGATGAACGGGGCAGACGTGCAGCCTCTCCTTCCACTGCCCACCCCCTTCCCCAGGGAAGCCCGGGTGTGGGGCGCAGAGGCAGGGGGGCGGGGGGGGAGCCGTCTGCCAAAAGCTGCTAAGTGTTTCTGCTCCAAATGGGGAGAAAAAGCATCCAAGAACAGAAGCGTGAGCAGAGCGTCCAGCCAGCACTGCCCGACGAGGCACGAGCCCGCCAGTGAGAACGTGGCTGCCCACTGCCCCCCAAAGTCGGCCCGGAGCGGCCCAGACGAGGAGAAGTTGGAAACAGGACGCAGAAAGGACAGGAATGTGAGGAATTGTTTGTCAAAGTGGTGTCTAGACACGTGGAAGCTTCTGGAAGCTCTCTGGGTGGGGGTCCTGGCTGTGGGCACCCCCCACTGAGGCTAGCGGAGGGCAGGGGACACGGGCCGGGGATGGGAGGAACGGGGGTGGCGCACGGGCAGCCCAGGCTGGGGCGGGGTGGGCTGGGGTGGGGTGGGGGGCTGCCAGCGGGTTTCTCCTGTTGCAGGATCCACGGGAGGACAGTGGGGCTGTCCCCGTGTTGTCCCTGTAAGCAGCAGCAAAGTCTCCCATTAGGAACAGGTCTTCTTCAATCTCCCCTAAATTCAAGTGCATCCCCCGCTGGTCTGGTCTTGTGTTCTCTCCTCTCTCGTGGTGAGAAAAGACTCAGGCTGGGGACGATGCTGTGAGAAGGGGATGTCTGGAGAAGCCCTCTGACCTTTCCCTGTGCCCTGAAATCCCGCTCCTGCGGATCGGGAAGGCGGATCGGGCCTGGGCAGCATCTCTGAGAGGGCAAAACCACCACAGCACGGGACCCCGCTGTCCCAAGCCTGGTGGGGGCCACGGGGCGCCGGGCGGATGTGGACACCCGAGGCTCATGCTAGCTGACCTCCCATGGCCTGCTCGGCAAGCCTGCTGGTCATGCTAAGATTCGTGCCAAGCCCTCCTCCCCTCCGTGCTGACGGAACACAGCTGTGGGCCAGGAACTTCTGGATCGGAGCCCTTGGCTGAGAGGATGTCACCAAAGGTTGCTCAGGCACTGAAGGGTCAGAGCCGAGTCACCCAGAGGCACAGGTCGCCTTTCCCAAAGCGGGAGCGGTGCAGAGCAAAATCTCGGGGGGCTGCAGTAGGTGAACGGCACTGTCTTCGCCCATGGTCCCTCGCAGCTTGGTGACCCGTCAGCTGCTTGGGCTGGCGAGCCGCCGGGGCCGGGGGCGGGGGGCGGAGAGCCAGGCTCCAGCTGACGTCGGCTGGGGACAAGGGCCATCCTCAGTGATAGCGGGGAGCTGGCACGTCCTCTGGGCCCGTCCTTTGATTAAAGAAGGGGGTGCTTCGCTGCTGGGTTTCTAATCTTTCTCCCCAGATTTTGCAGAGACTGTGAGCCCGTGGCCCCTTCGCCTGGTGTGACAGAGCTGGCTGTGTTTCCATGAAAAAAATCCCTGTTCCGGGAAGAGAAGCCATCGGGGTGCCAAAGGGGGGCAGGGGGGGCCTCAGTAGGCTACTCAGGTCACCTCCAGGGTGGTGGGACCATCACTAGGGGGGAGCGTGCCTCCAGCACAGCGCCACCACCCGAATACCTGGGAACATCTGAGCACATCCACACATCGTCCCCTCGGGTCCTCCCACGCACCTGTGGAGTCTGCATGACCTCAGAGGACGAGACTGCAGGCTGCCCAGGAGAAACCCAGGGGAAGGGAGGCGGTAAGGGCCTGATCTCTCAGGGCATCACAGAGACCCTCACCCACTCCAGACAGCCCCCTCTGCACTGCTTGGTCTAGAAGGAGAAATCCCAGTCTACCTGGCTTGGAGGGCTTTCTGTTACCTGGGGGCCAAATGTAATCCCAACAGACTTGGGTTGCACTCATTCTCAATTCCAAGCAACAGAGCCCCAAAGCAAGGACCTTCCCCCCAAAACCCACATATAGGGAAAGCCCAAGTTATGTCCTTTATGCAAAGAAGGGTGAGCTTCCAGGTGTGAGGACAAGTGACAGGTGACCATGCCCCACAGTGGGTTCCTCTGCAGCCTGAGACAAGACAAGCACCTGGCAGTGTCCAAGGAAGGGAGTCTGAGCCCACCAGTTACAAAGGAGGCTCCGGACCCCGGCCCTTAGGGAGAGAAAGCCAAAGGGATCCCGCCGTATTCATTCATCCCAGAAACACACCCAGACACGCTTAGGCCCACACATATACAAACACACATAGACCGCCGCACAGGCTCACCTGGGACCACAGCGGGCAGGGCAGCGGAGGCGCGGGGCCGAGCAGGGGTGTGGGGGGAAGTGCAGATCTTCCCCCGCGGTAAGGGGTCTGGTGAGGGGACAGGGAGAGAGCTTCCCTAATCCTTCCGAGAACAGGGTCTGGGGCAGAGCGCCTACCGTCACTGGAGGGCCATCCGGTGACTCCTATTTCCCTGGAAGTCAGCCACTTTTTCGGAGGAGGTCAATCCCTCCCGTGGCAGGTCACCCTGTGCTCATGGGGCAGGCAGCACCTGGTCATGGGAACCGATCTACCCGAGGGTTTTTCCATCAAGAGGAAGGTGAGACCAGACGGAAGCCCAGGGCCCTGAGAAGGCAGCAGGATTAGGTTTCTCACGCACGCAGCGGGCTGGAGTGCCTCCCGGCACGGAGGGGAGCCTGGGCCATCTCTACTCTAGGCCATCAGTCAAGGACAGCCAGCTCAGGGCACACAGACGGTTTCCTAGGGGCGGCATCACACCCAGGGCTGGGCCCGTCCTGCCAGGACCGCTGTGTGACTCTGGGTTAGTGCCTTGCCCTCTCTGGACCACAGGTAGCTCTTCCACTTTAACAGTCCAATGCTTGGTGTCTATGGTTTCAAGGCCTCAGGCAGCACCCCCACCCCCACCCCCCCACTGCTAGAGGTCACTGCAGTCCTGGCCCAGAGGACACGCTGCCTGGTGCACCAGGCAGGCCTTCTGTCCACACCCAGAGCCCTGGCAAAGTTGACCTGAAAGGCAGACAATCCCGATCCCGGGCTGCTTGTCTCCAGCACGGCCTCTCCCAGCTTCTCCTGACGCCCTCCGCCCTGGGTCCCTGAAGGCCCACGGCCTCCATCAGGAGAGGATGCGTGTCCGAGGCCGGCCTCCTCCACCACAGCTCGCACAGTATTTGGAAACCCATCCTGGATTTCCTCCCTCCTATCAGGAGCTCTGGTTACTTCTCCTGCAGATCTGACTCCAGGGGCCCCCGGGGTCAGGCAGGACCCTCCGTGTGGGCGGCCAGGCTGAGATCCAGCTGCTGTGGAGGGTCAGGGAGAGAGGAGGGAGGTGGTAGGAGTGAGGAGCAGAGAGGAGGCAGTGGAGGGAGGAGGAAGGAGGAAGAGGGAGGAAGGGAGGACCGTCGGGAGGACTGGAGCATGCTTAGTGCAGGTGAGAGTAGCGCATAGAGACAGAAAGGGTGAGCGTCTTCAGAGAAAATCAGGTTCAGATCCAAAGGGTTCCCATGTCTCTCGTAGGTGTGTCCGGCCTCTAGGGGGAAGCCCAGTGGGAACCCCCTCACCCAGAGGTGGTGCTGGGAGAGGCCAAATGTCGGGCACTAAGGAGTGTCCAAGAACCTGATTTTTCGCTACTCCCCAAAACGGGGTGAGGAGGACTGGCCACCAAGAAGAGAAACTTGGAAGCTGGCCAAGGCTGCTGGGGTGTTCCCGAATGGAGGGGACCTGATGCAAGGTG